AGATTTTTTAGGGATTTTTATCTAATTTTAACTAAATTAGGAATGTGCAAGACTTTACCCTAACCTAATCAGTGAAACTAACCATTCCAATACAGTCTTTTGATATTTTTTACATGCACTTGCGGGATTTATCTTTATATAAAGTGCATTCAAAGGATCAAGATACTAATATTTATTATTGGAAGGGGGATTAGGATATTGCTAGGTGTTAAGAGAAAATGTAAAGATATGTGTTTATTATAGGATGTAATTGACTAGGACAGAGGCTCTCAGACTGTGTCCTGCTGCAACCTGAAGTGTTAAAAAATTAATGGACTTAATGCAAGCCATTTATAATTAAGTTGGTATTTTTCACTAGTTCTCCAACCTACTACTGTTTGGATAATGTTATGACGATCAGGGATATATATGGCTTGTTATGGTTTTCTTCATTAAATAACTTCAATTTACTGCTCTTTTTTAACATCGCTCCTAACTCTCTGCCCAATTTTTATTTTAGTCACTTTTATATTTTCCTATATGACTATATGTCTCAATTAACAGAGTTATCCCAAAATAATTCACAAAAAAAATCACAACTTTCTTTAGAATTGACCTACAAACATAAATTTAGTATCAATGAATTGCATTTTTCAGGCCCTATCTAACCAACTAGCTCTTAAAGCTATAAATTCATTTTTAAAATTTTAACCAAGTACCTATTACTTGGTACTCTGTTCTTATTAAAGTAGCAGTTGGTTTTGTGCAGCGTCTATGCTGTATCAATTAAATATTGTTTTGATAGAGGCAAGTGAAGTTAATGAGGTATGTCTTCTTGTATAAGTATAAGGTTTCAAAAATCGATTAGATTGTTTAAAAAGTGCTATTTTACAGTGCACAAAGAATGTGGCTTATTAGAGCAAAATTGAAAAGACGTGGGTGCTGGATTTTTTCTTGGCCGACGCTCAAGTGGTAGATTACCTATGCCTATATAACTATATTTAAAATAGAATTAAAAAATACAATTAAATTATAAACATAAACGTATTCTTACTTGCTTTTAGCTTTACGTCCCATTGTTCTTCGTGTTTCTTCAACGATACCGGTTCATTAATGGTCTTCAAAATAAAACACATTTCTCGATTGATAATAATAATGGCTCTAAGTCAAACCAACAGGAAGTATCCGTCATAGCCATCACGTGACCAACCAAATATTATAAAGCCCTCACGTGACCAGCCAGGTCCAAATAGCTAATTGCTGTTCACGGTACCTATAGCCACTCCGTTAATTAATAGTGCAAGTAGTCCAATAAATAGAGACTATTTCACTGAAAAAAATTGTCATACAGATATTTGAAGGGAAGAAAAATATCTTTGAGGTTTGAACTATTCTTTTTTAAAACGAAGTGGATGCGTACACCGCGGCGGTGTATCTAGCGAAATCGTGGGCTTTGGCCTGGGTACACCGCGGCAAAAATGTACCATTGGTCTTCTTTTAAGATATACTTGTTGTTGCAGATCTTGTGTGGTCAAGTGGTAGAGTGGACGCTTGGCGTTAATATATTTCGAGATCAATTCCCAGTAGGGGTTCGAGTTTTTGTTCCTCCTATTTTAGTTTTAAAATATTTTGTAGCAAATTAAACAATTTAAACATATTTTTAAATATTGTATCAAATTTTATATATATATATATATATATATATATGTATATATATATATATATATATATATATCTATCTATCTATCTATCTATCTATCTATCTATCTATCTATCTATCTATCTATCTATCTATCTA